AATACCACGTATTGACATTTTTTAATTGGTTTTGTCACTGTAGGTTTTCATCAAATATTATTTGGCATGAGATTTAAATAAATCTGGCTTCTTGATTTCAAGGAATGCTTCCCCCCCCCCCCCCGTGATGTGCACCACTATTTAAATTATATGTTGTATTTTGAAGGTGAATGATGAGGAAGAAACGCAAGCTAATAAATCTGTATTGCCTGCATTAGTTAAGATTTGTAAAGCTGTTGGCTTAAAGTTAAGGATATGCTGTTTTCACACTTACTCTTCCTTTGTTCTGAATTTCACTGTATAGGGGTTTCTGCTTATGTTAACAAGCATGCATACTAATGATCAGATGTGCTATAATTAATAATATGATAGGAAAGGATCTTTGGGGGGGGGAAATTGCTGTGACAACAATCTGGGAGAACTCTGTTGTAAAAATTGGTTCATATCTTTCTTCCCTCTTTCTGTATCTACTAAATTAAAAAAATGACAGGCAAGTGTCTGTTTAATGTCATCCATTTCCAAAGTATTGCTATTTATAAAGAAACCAGGTTTCAAATAAACGGAAAAGACTGTGTAAGGTAGATTGCCACTGGTACAAAGATACCAGGTTTGTAGCATTTGTATTCAAAGGATTTATGGGAACGATGTCCAAGTTTTTGTTTATGTATTCTACTCATGTTTATTCATCATGCAAAGTGTTCTTTACCTGTTTTAATAACAAAGCAAGGACGTAAGCTGTAGTGAAAAACAGTGATAGGGTAAGAATTTCATCACTGGTATTTGAATGGAAGTCTTTCTGAACTTCACACAGCAAGATGTAATTCTTAAAGACTTTCCTTGATCTGATAATGATGGTCATGGTGGGGAGCTAAATAAAAGAAACTTAAGGATGAGGCCTAGACTACAAGGTAGAAAAAATATTCCAGAACAAGGTGGGGCGAATTGCTTCCTGATTTCTGTCAAGAAAACAACACAGTCATGCCCATATGATCTCTAGAACTTAAATTGGATTCTTTGGTGATGTTTCCCTCTGGTTTTAATCCAGTAACAGTGGTGGGTTTCAAAAAAAATTCGAACCTACTCTGTGGGTGTGGCCTCCTTTGTGGGAGTGGCTTGCCGGCCAGGTGTTCTCTCTCTCTCTTGCTCTCTCTCTCTCTTTCTCTCTTTCCTTCCTTTTGTCTCTCTGTCCCTTTTTCCTTTTTTTTATCTCTCACTCTTTCTTTCTTTCTTTCTTTCTTTCTTTCTTTCTTTCTTTCTTTCTTCCTTCCTTCCTTCCTTCCTTCCTTCCTCTTTCTCTCTCTGTGTGAGTCTGTGTGTGTGTGTGTCTGTCTGTCTGTCAGTGGTGGGTTTCAAAAATTTTTGGAACCTCTTCTG